ATTCACGCCCACTCGAGCAAGAAACTGGACTCTCGCTGGCTCAAGCTGCAAGTCCCGAAATCTGAACTGAACTGCACTGAACCTCCACAGCTCTCCGCGTAACCTCTACTTCTCCTTTACTTCTGTTACACACATCTCATACTTAACATCAACCTCTTAGTCCCTGTATCGCTCGGTCTGTGAAAANAAGTGGCGGAGAAACTTCAGGAGGTTGGATGTGCCGCCTCTTCAAGATCGCGCGAGGACTCTGACCTGGGAGGTGGCAGGCCTCTCAGTGGAAGCTCTTTGGCACAAGGTTAAAGCAAACCTGGCCCAACTGACGGAGGACTTTCCCCATTGAAGAAGATAAGAAGGAAGGGACAGCCCCTGGTGGAGGAGAGCTTTGGTTAGGGCCCAGGTTTGGGAACATAGTGCCTGGAAACTATTTTAGGCTAACCAGAGGCACAGGAGATACTCGGATTACAGGAAAGCCAAAGATGATGCCGCCAGGCTACAAAAACAACATCGAAATGGGTACGAAGTGTCGCTAGCACAACGTGCCAAGGTATGTCTTAAAGCCCAGTTCAACTACGTGCAGGCTAAGGGCAAACTAAGAGATTCAGAAGGTAGTATTGAACTCTCCCCAGGCACACTGGCAATGACCGCTAATAAAAAGGCCGAAGGCCTACTAAACTATTTCAAGTCATTTTAAGTAGAAGACGGCGGCCACCAACCGGCCACCCTGCCTCCATGCCTCTTACAGGAAATGCTTCATATATATCACCAATGTTGAGGTAGCCCTAAACAAGCACAAGACGGTTGGACCCGACGGGCTTCACCCAGCCATCATCCAACCCCTTGCAGACATCCTGGCAGCATCAGTTGCGGCGCTCTTTAACCGTAGCACAGACCAGGCCGTTATCCCTGACGAATGGTAAACGGCTGAGGTCATCCCATTATACAAAGCCGGATGATAGGAAATACCTGGGAATTACCGTCCAGTAAGTCTCCTGTGTATCTTACTGAAGATTATGTAGAGGTGTGTGAGGAATTCCATTGTAAGTCATCTAACTCAGCACCGTCTGGTAGCACAGCAGCAGCACGGGTTCGTCAAAGGCAAGTCTTGCCTG